CAAATTGTGGAAAAAGCCCCAAAACCTCCAGGTACCTATGAAGATGCTGTATTTTTCAGGGCTGAAGATGGTTTCTAACTGCAGCGTGATTTAAAAATCTAATTTTTCAACCTAGACATATTTATTTCTTTTTCGTTTTTAGCTCTATCGTCCACTTCTGAAAAGATATGCTGAGCTTGAACAGAAGGTTATCTACAACCCAACCTCTTCTTGTCTTGAGAAATAAAAGCACAACAAAATTTATAAGTCGGCTGAAGAGTGGACTCCCAAGGAGAAGATCAGAAGAGATTTTCTCAGAATTTACTGGAGTTGTTTAAATCATTTTGTTCTTCTTTGTAGACAAATAATTTTTAAATGTCTGTGTTTGAGTCTGTTGGTGGAAACATTTACTTTGTGATTGAAAGCCTGATTAAAAAGCATCATATTGTTCTGTGTGTTTGTGACTTCAATTTTTCTTGGGTACTTTTCAGATCGTGCTTGCTGTTTTGGAATAGCTGGATGACAAGTCAAGTCCCTTGTATATATGAATCACTCTACCCATCTCTATCAGCTTTGATTTCATGTGTTTAGCATGCTGGCCTCTCTGCATACCTATCTAGCACAGTATCTTAATTCCACAAGTTCTCCTGCTTAAATCTTTTGAAACTATCTTTCTGTTCCTCTGTGACTTATCTATGTTTATATCTTTGCCTAGATGAAACCAACAGAAAGCATAAGCGCACTGACTTAATCCCATCTTTCTTTAATATGTGGAGATTTGTGGTGTGAAGGCTGATTAAAGTCTTTAAAGACTCTCTAGGATTCTCAGAGAAAAGGAATTCTTGTTACATGACACTATGGAAAGTCTGTTGTGTGATAAAACATGATGTGGTTGGATTTCATAAATCGTGGAAAGCATAGAGGCCTTATGTGATACAGACACTGTTGCACAATGTTTTACTTCACATCAGTTTTGTAAAAAAGAAAATAAGGGAACAGACTTGGAGAGTTCAATTTCTGTTTCAAAAAGCAGAGATGGTTGGTTCCATCTGCACATCAATTTGGGGTTATATTATTTTCTTTTCTTCCTTCAGGTGTCATGGCCATGATATTCTTTGTGTTGTGCCAAGTGAGACTGCAGAAGGAGGGCTCTGCTCCCAACAAGTCACCAGGTCACTGTGGTTTTGGGTTTTTTTTTTTATACCACGAATATCCTATTTCTTTCTTGGAGATCCTGAGCAGAGCTGGTCTTGCTCTGTTGCTACTCTTCCACTTCAAATGTTTTAGTCCAGATTAAGTAGGCTCTGGTTGAGAAAATCATACAGAAAATACAAGCCAGGAGATCTTTCTACAGAGGCGTGTGGAAGTCGCAGAATTTGAATGAATATCCTAAATCACACTATACAAGCAGGAACATTTTACTGCGTCATTCTGCAGTGCCAGTATGTTTCCCTTAGGATAAAATATCTTTTGGGAATAAAGCAGACTTGTTTAATGAAAGTGACTGAAGCCTTTCTTCCCTTCTTGTGGAAGCTGTAGTGTGCCTAGGGAGTAAGCCAGGGAATTGTAGGGAGTTAGAGGGTCTCTTTACTGAGTATCTGAGAGCTGGGTTATGCCCCTGTTGGAGGTGGGTGACTCCAATTTGTATTCTTGTCATTACAGTGCCCTAGGAGCTCTCCCTGCTGCATCTCCGTGGTGAGGATGGGACCCCCTTGCTGTGACTCACCTCCGGAGTGGCTGGGAAATGGGCACGTTCCCCCTTTAAGTGCTTCATTTGTGAGTACGAACAGTGCTTTCTTTTTGTTCACAACCGAGTAATTATAACTTCTCTTGATATTAGCATGATTACTCAGGAAGGTCAAGAATTAAATTTCCGAGTTTCTAAAGCAGGCTTCTTTTAAGCAATTGCTTTAAAAGGTGGCATTACAAATACACATCTATCTCTTTTATGTGCTTATTATTCTGGGTCCCAAGGTACAGTGCTAAAACATATAATACTTCTCACAGGCCACCACCGTCAGCAGTTGCTTTGTCATTGAGTAAGGCTGCAGAGAGGGACAGAAGGATTCATCCATGCAAGTTAAACAATGCCTACTAGTTTAAGCAGTGTTACCATCATCATTAGTCTTTAGTTCTGCCTGGTTACTGGTTTGGCATCAAGGTTAACCAGGCAGGGAAGGGATTCAGGGAAGTATTTTAGCTTTGTGCAGTTTTGGTGACAATTTCTTGAGCAGCTCATTTGGCTTATCAGAGTGAGAAGGCTGATGTCTCTTGTAGCTTTGTGGCTTTATTTGCCTGTGAAATAGGAGACTCGGGGTCAATTTCTTAATTGGCTGAAAAAGGTTATAGCGTATTCTTCCCAACTCATGGCACGTGTTAGAACATTTCTAGATAATGTGTTGGCTCCTAACAGTGTTACATGGTGCTAGTAGGATATTGTCTAGATAGTTTAATTGCTTTCTGGGCCTCAGCTCTTCTCTGGGTAGAGAGAAGGAAATGTTTCCTTTTCTGTTGGGCTGGGTTGGGGTGCTAATGCGTCCCACTTTAGCATTAAAACACTGTTTCCTCAGAGCACTGTGTGCTTGCTGCTGGAGTCCCTGAGAAAAGACTCAGATGCCAGGCTCTGAAGGGCCAGGAGTTGAGCACCACTGAATTATAGTATTGCTGTGGTGATGGGTTTATTAGGGCTGGCCTCTGAGGACTGGTGTCTGGAGTATAAGAATTTATAGACAAGCTCTTTTTTTTCCAGCTCACCAAAGTTGCACATGTTCACTGACTAGTGTCAGATAGAATAAGACTCAATAAATCTCCCCCTAGAAAGGTCCTTTGAAGAAATGCTGCTGTAAGATGTCCACCACTCTCTCCTTTTTGTCTTTCCAGGAATGCATATTAGCCTGCCAAGAAACCACAGGCTTCCTGCTCTCACAGGCACAGTGATGGAAGGATCTGGTGCCCTTTGGTTTCCAAAATCACATGGTTTTTTTGCCAGCTTGTCTACCTTATTCTGGTTGTCTGGAGTAGGGAGGTTACTGACTAAATTAATATCTTAGCTAACAGAAATCTAAAGGCAAGCCAATGTCTTCTACCTCAACATGTTTGATAGAGGCTGATTCCATCCCTCCCCAATAAGTGATCTTACTTCTTTAAGGTGAGCAATGTGGCACCCCCATCTTGTCTAGATGGAAGGTTACCTTCTGTGTTTAAAGACCTGCTGAGCTATTCCCAGTCTGGACTAATTTTCTGGAAAATTAATCTCCTGGAACAAAACCCTTGATTGCCACAAGGAGGTTGTTCATTGCTGTCTGACCTGCAGCTCCTGCCCTGGCAAAGCCACTCTAGGTTGGAGGTGGGTCACAGTTACATGGAAAAATCCACACAGTGTCCTTAGCTCGATGGCCCTGTGCCCTCACCAGTCAGTCAGAGCTGCAGTGGAATCACTCACAGGCTCTTGGTTTACCATGACCCAAAGACAAACAGTTTTCTTTGCAGCCTGAAGTCTTTAAAGTCTTTTGCGATGCAGCTAGAAACAAACAGGGAAAGATGTTTGCTTTTTCTTAAGGGATCAGTCTGAGAGAGCTGGAGCTCTGATTGAATAAGTAATGTACTGAAAAAAGTCTATGCTCTGTCGGTGCTTTAATAAGTAATTGAGCTGAATACCTCCGTGTGCAATCCCACTGGGACCTTTTTGTTTTTCAGCTTGCTTTTCCTTTGGAGTTGCGGCTACCACTGCACATCACAGAGCAGCGCGGCGAAGGATGTGTATCTAAAGCCACAAAAAGCCAAAGCAGAACTTTCAACAAATCATTTGTTTCATCCGTATTTCTATTGCCTTGGTCCCCAGAGTGCTGCGTGCGGGTTAGGGAGTCGGGGGGGAAAAAAGCATAACATGTCAGAGAATTAAACTGTCTGCTGTTGGTGCTTGTAACTCCTTCCCTAGCAGAAAGGTGCTACTTTGGATTTTTCATCTCCACAGCCACTAACTTTTTGTGTAATCTTTAGTATTTTGATTTTGGCGAGGTCTCAATCCTCATGTTAAGTTGGGTTGAAACTGGCAAACATATGGCTAAGGATGATTAGAAGGTGGGTGAACGTTCACTTGGCTATCAGAGGATCACTATCCCATGAGGAGCATTTTCTTAAGAAGCTTCTCTGAAGGTGACTGTAGTCCTGATTCCATGTGGCTTGAAATTTTAGTACAGTGTTTTACACTTGTGCAAATTGGGTACAAAATCATATCTGCACCAAAGGATCTTCTCTTGTTACTGCTCTACATTCATTCTGTCAATCCAGGTCAAAATCACAATGGGATGTGCAAGGCAAAACAACTGGGGACAGTTTTTTTTTTTTTGTAACCAGCTTTTTTTCTGAGCATGTCTCTGAGGTGTGTGAGTAGGACGTCTTTGGTTGGGATATTCAGAGTAGTTACAGCCCCTGCTCACCCATGCTTTGATACAGCCTGGGTTGAGCCTCTTTGGTCAGTTCAAGTGGTTTAGCTTTCACTCGTCAAAGCTTACACTACCAGAATGTAAGGTTTTTAGATTATTTTTTTCCTTCCTCCTCGAACCCTTTTTTCCTCTCCTGCAGCAGATACAACCTTTTCTTGTGCATGGTTTGCCTTGTCAGCTGCTTCCACTTCTGTGGGATGCTGAGAACTTCTCTTACGTGACACTGTCCTCAGCAAACTTGCCCTGTGCTGAGATGGAGCCCCAAGACTCATTTTGCTTTACTTGTTCTACCACTCCTCTGTTGCTTCCTGAAGTTGGCCTTGACAAACAGAATGATGCTTCTGTGGTGGTCTTGGACTTCTGGGAATGTCTTGACCATTGTGGGAACTCAATAATTTTGTTCAGTGTGCTTGAAGCACATGCCCTGAGGAGGAAGGGTGAAGGAGCAGCTATCGCTGCCTACGGATACTGCCATGATCTCCGAATTCAGTCTTTCACTAAGCTCCTTCATCCACTGATGTGTCATCCTGCCCATCAGAACAACTGGGGATGTTGTTAATTGTGATGTTTCTTGCTCTGAGCTCTTTAGATGACAGGTATTTGTGATATGTTCTTTGTTAAAATGCTGGGATTAGCTCTGCTTTTATTTGTTATATCGTGCCTTAGTACTCTGTAATGCATCCATCTGGCTGTCGTTTCTCTTCTAGCCTCTCATCAGCCAAACAGAAGTCTTTGGTCACTCAGGTGTGGGATTTATCTGACCAGTGTAGTAGACATCTGTGTCTGCTATCACATGGGCTCCTTTTATAGTCAGAGGAGAGGACCACAAGGGAGAGAAGTTTCTGGCTGTTTTTCATCTTACTTTATGGCAGATGTCTACAATGGATCAGGTGATTTGTCTCCTGAGTGAGCCATTTCTCCCTGCTGAGTAGGAAGGCAGTGGTGTGGAGAAAAAGCCAATTTTTCTCCTTGTGCCAAAACTCCTGAAGACTTGATTGAAAGTTGCTCTCAACTTTGGAGGCAAGTTTTCTCCCCAGTTACCATTGTGCAACTGGAAAGCTTTCTTGTTCCAGGACTGCTCTGTTTTTACTGTCAAATCCATGAGACTGACCTCCCCAACTCACTTCAGATGGTCCTCTCCGTACACCTGCATGGAGATATCCAGCAGACATAGGTCGGGAGCTCTGTTTCTTACATTCTTGCCTTTTTGTCCTTTAGTTGCATGCCCTTGCTTGTGTTTATCCCTTCGAGCTGGACTCTTTCAGGCAGTTCTGTTATGCCTGCGAGCTCAGTACCCCGGTTCAGTGAAAGACAGCTCCCTTAAGACTTAGGCAAGCATTGCTCAGGAAAACAAAGGTCTCTTCAACTTGCTGTTTGGAGACAATATTTACTCTCTGACTGACATGTACGCACTACCCTCCTGAAACCTCAACTCCGTTCCAGATCTGATAAATACTGGTCTGCTGGAAGATGGAATTCTCCTTGAAAAATAGTCTAAGCCCTGCTGTATAACAGAAGGGCTTAGCCAGAGAAACAGAGCAGAAGTGGAGCTGCTTCTTAGCTGGGGGCTTTTATCTTAAAATAAAACATGTTGCAAAATCCAAATAAGCAGCAAAGGTTTCTCACACAACTTTGATATCGCAGTTTATGCCTCCTGAGAGCCTCTCTTCACACTGCTGCCATGGCTTGTTAGGATAGGATGGGACATTCCCCTGTCACTCCTGGTATCACTTCTTTGCTAGATTCCTGCCCTACTTGAAGACAATAGTATGTAGCAGAAACACCCTTTTGATCAAGAAAGATGCTGTTGAAAGGCGACAATATGTTTTTCCAATTTCCATTTCTCAGCCTAATTATTCTGGTCCCTGCCATTGTTGTCCCTTAGAAGAAATGCCTACTCAAGCAGAGGGAAGAGAAGACCTTGAATGAAGCTAATCCAATATGTGATTTAGTCAGACAGTTCAACTGAATGAATAAGCAAATAAGCTGCATTTCAAGACTTCCCTTGCTGTGAAAGCATTTTTTTTTTCTCAGAGTGACTCCTGGCTTAGAAGATACAGCCATGATGGTTCATGTGATTCCATCTCACCGTGTTTGGAGCATGACAGACTCTCCCAAAGGCCTTTCAGCGTAGCTTCATTTTGCTATTTGCCCAGCGAATACAGATTTTTTCATTTTGACCTGTGGTGTGTGTGGTTTTAGCAAGCTTTATAAATGGACTGGTTAAAGAAGTGTTGCTAACAACTTCCCCTGCCTGTTGGTAGTCAACCTTCATCATTCATGGGATTCCATAGCAAAAGAGTTGAGCCATCATGGGGCAAGGGCTTCCTCTAAAGGCCAGAGTAAATGTCAAGAAACTCTTTCCCTTCTCTCGTGTCCCAGAAATGTTACTGTAAGTCAGAGTCACTGGACTTGTGCTGGGTTCTCCATAGCTTGAGTATTTTGGGGTAAGAGCGGCTGCTGTTCAGCCAGATTGTCTAGGTGAAAGATCACTGAGGTGAGACCGGACAGGTAATTTATATCAAGTTCTGTGTTTTGTAATTTATACTCTGACTCTTTAAATGATAAAGTAAATTAAATTTCTCAGATGAGTGAGAATCATGGGAGGGAGGAAAAATGGGGAGGGAGAATGCGTCTGGACTCAGGAATTGCTGGGTGACTCAGGCACTCAGGCTCCCCTTCTTCTGGCCTGATGCATCTTGCTTGTTTCCTCTAGAGCAGCCCAAGATCATGGGAGACACGGAAACTGCTCCTTCCCTGAGCTTCCTCCAGCCTACCAGTGCTGGCCTGCAAACTGGAACCTGGTGTTGAACCCACCAGGCAAGGGAGCTCCCTGTGCCCAGTGATGTGCTGTCATCCTGAGGCCATTGGCTAAAAAGCTGGTGGCTTCTTCACGCCCATTGCTTTTGGTTGAGCATGATGCTGTCTTTGGGGGCTGAGTTGCGGTGCCTTTTGGACCTGTATCAGACTGGGAGCTCAACCTTTAGCAGGGGTAAAGTGAAAGATTTCAACATATAATGACTAGAAATGGTGAGTATGACCTGGACATGAAGAAGGTGAATGTTCTCCTTGAGCTTACCTGTGTGCCTTTCCAGTTGAGATGGGAGCATTGCCTCATGCAAGGCTCTTGTAAGATCTCTCTGGGAGGGCATTTGCAAATCTATTCTCTTCTGTTTTAGGAAAGAAGAATTAAAACTGGAACAGTTGAGGAAGACTGCTCATACGTTGATCAGGAGAAGGCAAAGGCTGTCCTAGGAGAGAAGATTAAAAGTTTGGCTTGCTTCACCTGGCAAGTGGAAGCTGGAAGGTGATACCATAGTTCAGTATAAATCCTTCAGGTTGGGGGGTAAAGAGCAGAGGGAAAGCTATTTAAGGCAAAGAATGATGTTGGCACACAAACAAGTGGCACATACTGATTGGCAATAAATTTGAACTGGAAATTTAGACTGAGGTGGGGGTGAGGGGCTGAAGCACCTCTTGTACTCTGTGTGTGGTGCCAGGAGTATAGACCCCATACCCACAGCATGACATTTTGCCGGGCTACAACACAGTGTAGAAATCCTCTGCTGGAAACTGTGTTTAGTTTGGAGTAGTGGTGACCTTTAGAGAAACTCTTGTTTGCTACGTGGACAGAGCGGGGTTTCACACTTGGCCTCTTCTGAATTTCCTTCTTGACTGTGTTTGGTTTGTGGGAAGGAACTAACATGGAAGGGACAAATAGATGGAGAGCTTCCAACTCTGCTTCTTAAGCGTGGGACACGTAATAGCTCAGTTTGCTATCGGTTTGCTGGGCTAGTCCTCTACAAACAAGAGGAATTTACCCCACGGCAATCTTTCTTCGCTAGAACCCTGCAAAAGGAAGTGAGGTTTAATTAGCATTTTAAAGTGGACAGCCTTGAAGTTAATGATATTCAATAAAGAAAAATTGTTTTAACCTTATTTGCACTTTTCAATTTACTTATTAGAGGCCATCTGTTATATTTTAAGCAAGAGCACTGGGAGCTAAAATCTCAGATTGTCAAAGGAGGTTTTAACTGGCTAAGCAGAAGGGAAAGAACAGGCTGCCTTAAATGAGCAATTAGAGTGTTTTTCTTCAATTTCTCACTTTTGTGTCAAAAAGCAAATGGTCACCATTTCAGGCAACAGTTGAGTTGCGACAATGACATCTGTTTTTACAGGTGCTGATGTGTCCTGGGAAACGTCACTTGTCCTTGGATCTCAGATATGGTCCAACATGGGTGAAATTTAAAAAACCAAAAGTGAGATGAAACTGAAGCAAAATGGCATATATGGGTGCGTGGGACCAAGTGGGATGTGTTCAAGGGTGCTGAGGAAGCTGGTTGATGTCATTCTATCATCTCTGAAAGGTGGTGATGATCGTGGAAGGTCCCCAATGACTGGGAAGAGGCTAACGTTAGGTTCATCCTCAAAGAGAGTAAGGAGCATTCAAGAAAACTTCAAACAGCTTCACCTCTACCTCTGGTTCCAGAGCAAATCTTCCTGAGGGCCATTTCCAGACACTTGAGGACAAGAATCACCACTGAATGCAGGGACCAGATCTCCATTCACCATCATGAGAATTTGACTCTAAACTTAAGCTTGAGCAGATTCCCACCGTGCCTCTGAGAAGATGAGTGTTCTTGTGTCCCTGGGCAAAGCAAGAGCCTTTGGCAGGACAAGAACCAAACCTTGGTCTCCCAGGTCTCATGAGAATAATTTAAAAACTAGACCACTCATAATTCCTCCTGGAGGGTTGAGAAAGTAAAGCAAAATGTCTTCTCCAAATCTACTTAAAAATCCATGGGAGCTGGTACAACTGGTGCTGTGCATCTGGACTGGGGACCATACATTCATGTATGGATGTTAGCATTCCTCTGGATTTAATAATAGATGTTCAGCTGAGCTGAGGCTCTGAATCCTGGTCTGTGGAGGATTTGGCTGTGGTGGCTGTAAGGTTACCATGTCCAGAGCAGGGTCGGATCAATGCCATGAGCTGATACCCTGTTCCCCAGGAGCAGCAACTTAAAGTGCCACTGCTGAATCCTTTCAACCTGCAAATTTGAAGGCTGATCCTACAACTGTTTGAAAATGTAGATCTCAGCTTTACTCCTGTGGGTCGTCCCGCTGAAGTTAAGGTGAAGTTGACTCCTGTATGGGAGGTCCTGTGGGTATCCCAGGTTTGCTGGGGGCTGAACCCACCAGCTCCTGTTGATGCCAGGCTTGCTCTGCAGCCAGCTGCGTTTCTCTGAGTTACAGTGGCAGAAGGAAGGAGAAATGATCTGAAGAAAAGAAACGGGGCAGAAATGTAAACTAGATCACGTTGATTCACAACAGCTCTTCATTGTTAGTGAGAAAACCCCTACTAAACCCAACGAACGATGAAGTATCTGTAGCAGTGAAATCCAGCTGCCAACAATGTTACAGTAAAAAATGGCCATGGGTCCTGTTAGTTTGCTATAAGCGCTAAAGCTGAATGTGTGTGCAATAAAACAGCTTTTATAAAACCTTGCTTTTGTGCCATTCCAAGCTTAAAATGCTATTTTGTCTTCAGATCTGCAGAGAAAAAAAGAAGCCCACAACTTGAGGTGACTTTTGTTTTAAGACTGTTTTAAATTTATAACTGAGCTGGCTAAAATGCTTTTCATCAAAGTACAAAAGTTTCATGCCGTAATTAATGGCAAGTGATATCTAATGCAATAAAACACCATCATTTGAGTGTTCTTACAAGACTATTTATGACTGGATATTGAAACTGATAATGATTCTGCCATTTGTCCTCATAATTTATTATTCCAAGGAGAGGCAAGTGGTGTTAAGGGTTCACGATCCGTTTTATGGAAAGAGTGCTGAATTCAGCTTTTTATGGGTGTAAATGACAATGTTTGGCGCTCTGTGGAAAATGTGCAAGTGACAGCCAGTGCAGACCCTACTGAGGGGTCGAGATGGGGGGTGTTAATGAGAGCGAAGCCCCTGGCTGGATGATGCAGTTACAGGTAGTGTTACTGGGACCAGTTCAATGGCTTAGTCATCGTCTCAGCAGGATCCCTTGGTTTTTCTGGAAGCCTTCTACCTGGTTTCTGAACTGGATGATCTCATAAGTATCGTTTTGGGCAGTCAAAGCTGAATTAACTATAAGCAACCTAATCCAAAGCCCACGGAAGATAATGGAAAGAATTACTGGCTCTGGCAAGTCTTGTGTCAGGCCAAAACAAAAGCTCGACTCTGGAGGAGACTTCCCTTGGTCCTGCAAAGCGCCGGCCAGACTGTATCCCTCTGAGCACAGCCCTTTCATATTGCACTGGGCTGAGGCTGATTTACTGAATGCTCAGGCTCCAATCCTCACCTTATTCGGGCTCATGGAAACCTGGAGGAATTTCTTAAGTCAGTGTTGATGCAACTAATGGAAAATCTGAGTGAAGTCAGACCTTGGGTTGTTTTTTTTTTTTTGCACTAAGACCTGAAAAAGAGAGATGATACTACAGCCTGCCGGACTCCTGGCCCTGAGACTACAGCTTTCTGGTTTTCCCCAGCCTGCTGTTCATTTGCTTTAGAATAAGGAACTGTAGGTAAAGATTTGCATTCCCATCAATAGCCCGAGCAGCAGTCTAATGAGTTTCTTGCTGCTTTGCAAATAGCTTGGAGTGAATCTGATGCCACAGAAGCAGAGTGCAGGATGTAACCCATTTTCTTTGCTTTTCAAGAGCTGTGGTCCCCTTCCTCTTCCCTTCTGCCTCCCCTCGTTTATTCTAATCAGCATGTCAAAATGGAAGTAGCTCCTTTATTGGAGGTTATCCATGTCAAGGGAAGTTATGTTTCCATCACTACCTGGGGGCCCATCAGCAGATGAAGATGGAGAGCAGTGACTCAAAATGACTTTGAAGCAACACCCAGCAGCAACTGATGACAAGAACATAACCTTAGCTGACGTTTAAAATAACCCGATATACAAATAAAACTGTTCTGCTAAATTATGCATCTTTTTACTCTTGGCTGTTCTTAAGGGAAAGGGACTGGGTGAGTGTTTTCTACGTGTGCCTCTTCTTTTTCCTGTGCTGGGAGCTGAGTGACAGATGTGCACTGATGGAGCATAGTGCATTGATTTTTGCGGCTCCAGTACTTTATGCTGAAAAGAAATACAGCTTTTAAAACGATGGAGGGCCCCTATTCAGAGGGAAAAAAAAAAAAGAAAAAGTGAGGCGTATGAGTGAGTTTTGCTGAATGCACCTTAGTTATCTGCTTTGAGTTAAGTGTGTTCCTAAATGCTTTGTTGGCCAGCATTGATGGGAGTACATTTAACAGTAAGTTTGAGTTGAACTAAGTAATGGGTAAAGAACAAGCAAGAAAAATAAGGTAACAGGGACATTGAGAAAAATCTATCTCTGTTTCACTAATTGTTGGAAACCAAGAAATAATGTGTTAACTTTAAAGCTTTTCCCCTAATGGCACAAACACTGATATGTGCTGTTGCTTGCATGCTCCTCTCTTTTCCCAGCTGAGAAATAGGGACGGTGAGGTGTCCCTGCAGCAGGGACAGTGACAGGTCAGCAGCAGACTCAGAGTCAGCAGGGTGTTCTGGCAGCCAAGAGGGCAAAACACATCCCAGGGTGCATCAAATACAGCATCACCAGCCGGTCAAGAGAAGTGATTATCCCACTGTATTCAGCGTTGGTGCGGGCTCACCTTGGAATGCTGTGTGCAGCTCTGTGCCCCACAGTTTAAGAAGGATGTGAAGATCCTTTGAATGCATCTAGAGAAGGGCAACAAAGCTGGTGAAAGGGCTGGAAGGAACATCCTATGAGGAGCAGCTAAGAACTTTGGGCTCATCTAGTTTGGAGAAAGGCAGGCTGAGGGGAGACCTCATTGCTTTACAGCTTTCTGAGGAGAGGAACTGGAGAAAGAGGCGCTGAGCTCTTCTCCCAGGGATCTGGTGACAGGACATGTGGGAATGGTTCAAAGCTGTGCCAGCAGAGGTTTAGACAAGACATTGGGAAGCAGTTCTTTACCAAGAAGGTGGTCCAACACTCCTAGAGAGGTGGTCGATGCCCCAAACCTGTCAGTGTTTAAGAGGCATTTGGACAATGCCCTTAGTAACATACTTAAAGTTGGTCCTCCCTGAAGCGATCAGGCAGATGGACTAAATGATCATTGTAGGTCCCTTCCTACTGAAATAGTTTATTCTATTTTATTTCTAGTTGATAGATGGTTTCAGCTACTCAGTTTTACAATAGCTCAGGCTGTTTCTCTCATTGCCACTGATTTCACTCTGCTCTCACCAACACAGTCCTTGTCCAAAACTTCTTGAGATCCTGTGGCTGAGCCTTTGCCAGATGCAACTTCATTGACCGTGAAGGAGATGCATTGATTGACCTTGAACAATGACCTGCCCTCCGGATTTCATTTAATGTGAGTTATTTGGGTTTTTTTGTATTATTTTTCCTACTGCATTAGCACTTAACAGCTGTAGACAAGTGTGATGCTGCACTGCTGTACAAACGTAGATCAAGGATTGTGCTTGGGTCCCTGTTTCTCTTCCTTTTGTGTCTTCTGTAAGTGCGTAACTAGAAAACGTGACCACATTTTATACACTCAGAGCCACCTTTTTCCTACTCTTCCGTTGGTACCTGCTGTGGCCGGCAGGATGCAGAGCATCAGCCTGGTTTGCAGCAGGGAAGGCAGTACTTACGCTCATTGCATTTTGCCAAAACCTGTTTTTACAGTGATGTCCTATGAAGCACTGCTTCTGTGCTGTTTTCGTGGCAAGGCTGTATCTTTCTGTGGCTTTCCAAAAATATTCAAGCATCGCATGTGTCAAGGAAGCAGTGATTTGCAAGGAGAAAGGCCAGTGTAAAGGAGTTGCTTTCATGTTTATCCTCCTGCCCTGCCTCCAAAAAATTTGCTGCTTCTGATGGAGGCTGATGATCTGGTTTAACTCTGATGTCTTGGTCGTGGCTTGAGTCACCTCTCTGGTAACTTTAGCTTGCTCAATTCAGTATATTCATTTTTGGTGAGCCTATGGTTTGAAAATGTAAGATTCCTTCTTAAAAACAACTTACATCGTTAAGGGAGAAAAAAAAATCTCACTTCTTAGAATATGTATATAAATTGAGAGTAATCTGTGTCATGGATGGTCTCAGCTTAGTCTTCTGTGAACATGTGTCCACATCACAAAATGACCATGCAATTTAGCATGACAGGCAAGAAGAATTTTAAAGGTCATTAAGGGGATACACTGGCTAATCTGCCCGCAAAAGCTCACGTAGATACTGGCTCAACCTGCGTGTTTGTGTTTCCCCCCTCTCTTACACTAACTAGCAATAAAAATTTAAGCTGTATAGCAAAAATCCTTTTGTTTCAGGGGCCAGGCAAATGTCCTAGGTTTTGTGTTTATTTATAGGAGATGAACTTGCTTGTGAGATGGGTTTTGTAAAATTGGATCCAGCTTTAATCAGAGCTGAGCCAGATCCATGTCTTGCATTACTGGCAGCTGGTTTTCATGGGGAATATCTGGCTGATGCAGAGCAGCAAAGGACCTGGAGGAGGGCACTGGGGGATGTAGGAGGTAATACAGGAGACACGTGGCCCCAGGTTGCCCCCTACTTGAGCAAAGTCCTTTGCTATTGGACTAACAGGACAAGGAAGAGCGTGAGGGATGAGGATGGAGGACTGTTTGGGGGTGAGAAGCTTGCCCTAAACCAAAGACAAAACGCCCTTCTCTATAGAGATCATAGAAACCTTGACATGTAAAAATGCCAGCAATGATGTGACAAGAAGGGGTGACCTTCAGTGGCACAAGGGCTGGTTAGATGCCAGTTCTCCAGGGTTGACAGGGACACTCACATTAATGTGATTGCAGCACCAGTAGCGATATCTGTAGTGGTGGCCTTTTGGGGCTTGGCCTTGTCCTGTCTCTGACAGCTGGCAGAGGTGGCAGTCACTGCTGGGACAACTGTCCCACCTACACCACCCCAGGAGCTGAAGGTTGGGCCACCAACTGCTGTCCTGTGGCTGCATGGTCTGACCTTTGTTTGCAAAGCCCTGGGAAAGGAGGAAGTTTTGCTTGATAGCATTTGTGGAGGTGGTCCTAGTCTCTCGGAGGGGACGGTGCTCTCTGGCTTGGGGGTATTTTATGTCCTCCTGCCTGTGCTCTGCGTTGGCTCCTCAGGTTCAATGATAATATGAACTGTCATCCTGAGAAATATACGGGCGCCTATTTACCATTCGTGGAGCGGCGCTGCTCTGATGACACAGCATACATTACCCAAAAGTTCACTGGAGGACGGTGAAGGTGATTAGGAAGGGAAGAAAGTTGTTTTTCTTCCGATGGCTTGAGAGCCAAGTCATAAAAGGCAAAATGTTCTCAGCCTGCTGTAGATGTGCATGCACCACTGGGGACAGGCTGGGCTGGGAGAGCCTGATCAGTCCTTGGGTTTGTTTTTTTTTTTTTGTAATTCAGACTCTCTTAATACAAATGTCCCTCTCCAGATGTCACACGGTCACCTGAATCTGCTCTCTCCCAGCTTAATGCTGTCACACAGTGACGTATGCTCTCTCCCAGCTTAATGCTGTCACACAGCGACGTATCATTTCCCAGCGCGTGCCCTGGGATACGTCTGCCTTCATGTCCAACCCTGCACACGAGGTGCTGTGTGTGACTGTGGCCCTGCCACCCTGGCATTGGCACCTTGTCCATCTCAGCCACACCAGGTCCCCAAAAAATCTGTTTTAAAGCCTCACTGGGCTGCGCTTCTCCTGCAGATGAGGCTTGTGCCTGCTGAAAGTCTTGGGAGGCAAATGGCCCGAGAAGCTCACCGTGACGCGACGATGCTGACGCTAATGAGTTTCGTGTCTTGCTACAGTGGATGGCAATTAACGGGGGCTGATGAGGCTGAGCCTGTGGGCCTGCACGGCCTGCCTGGTTGCGGGGAAAGATGCGGCGAAGGGTGCGGGAGGGATGAGTTTTTCTCAGAGCATCACACTAGAGGGTGCCAGATTGCTTTCCTCCGTGCCGCCGCCTTCCCTCGCACGGCTGTGGACAGGCTTGGCTTTGTACGTCTTGATGGCTCCTTCCACCCCTTTAAACGCTCATTGAACACGCACAGCCATCTGCTAACCAGGTGGCAGGGCAGCGGCCACCCCAAAATCCATGTCAAGGATGTGTGGTGTCCTCCTCTGCACAGGCTGGCTTGATCCCAAAGCTGGAGCTGCTTCTTAAAATCCAGCAGTGGCCAAAGAGCAAATTGGGTTGACTGTGGGACATGCCTTGATCTGGTAGCAGAAAGGTCCCTGGTCTCGAATAGGGAGCCCAGAGGCTGGGATGAGGGCAGCTGCCCCCAGCCTCCCCAGTTATCCCCCGCATGCTGTGGTGGGTTCATGTGCCTCCTGTGTATCCCCTCCATTCAGCACATCCCACCACTTTGATGGGATGCTACTCTCATTTCTGGCTCTTTGTGGCCCTTTTGCCTGTCCCCTAGACCATGAACCAGCACCTCTTCTTGTGCCTGTGCTCTGGAGATGTCCTTTCCAAAGGAAGGAGGTTGAACTTGCCTCTCTGGATTCCCTTCTTGCTTCTTGCAGATAGTTGCATTTCAGGTTGTGGCCCATCTGAATTCTGCTCCTCTCAAGCACTCGCACCCCTTTCAGGCTTGGTCACACCATACCTTTCACAAGCACATTCTCAACTCTTCACGAAAGGCCCAATCAAGACACTGACCAGACCCAGATCTGAGGCAAGCTTCTGCAGGTTTGGGAGTGAGACATTGCTAACCACTTTGCATGTTGTCTTTTGACCAGTTACGCCCTTTCCTTCTTAGCTTTTCCTACAGCCTGAGGCTATCAGCTGGGCTTTCTGGGCCCAAAGCATTCATAGTACATATTCACCAAGGTCCACGGATTTGCCCATGGACACTATTGTGCAGTCCCAGCTCTCCAAGGACATTTCCATCCTCACAAGGGTCCAGGCTGACCTTTCTGAAGTAGTTATAATTCATTAGGACAAGAGCTTTTGCTTACTGACTGGTTGATGGGTGTATCTAGTGTACCAAACTCTCATCCACATAAACTGAAAGCTCTTGGACGTGCCTGTCCTCCCCAGAAAGGTGGGGCTCACACCGCTGATTCCTATAGGTTTGAAATTGTCTTCTACTGTGAGATACAAAGAGTCTGTATGAGAAGGGGGAGTGTATGAGACAGATGGGAGAAAATAATTATAAACTCCAAATCCCCCAAACTGTTCTGCCCATGCACAAACAGACTCTCCCTCACGTACCAAGCGGAGTTTTTACCCCCAAAATGCCTAGAGGGACTCCCACTCCATAAAATCTGTAGTAATAGTAGAGGTTGGATATTGCAGGGGTGGATAGCAAACTATTGGGTATGTACAGCTGCGTAATGGTAAATTAGAAACAACCTAATTTCTGAATACCAGCAGGATAAATGTTTCTTCATTGGGAAATGCCTCCAGCTCCACCCTGGACATCATGCATAGGTCCAGGGGTGGTTTTCCTCCTCCTTCCTGTTGCTGTCACCCTTGGAGCCAGACCTTAATCTGTGTATTACTTCTTTCTTGCCCCATGTGGATAAATTAGAGCAGAAGTGATATGAGGCGTAATCAAAACTGTCAATTAGAATTACATTCAGTTATGCATAATGAGCCAAATTAGCACCCAGTGTAGATCTACTGGAACTCAATGAATTTGCACCATGGATGGATTTGGCCCAGTGTTTTCATGCCAATTACACATATATATAAATGGCTAATGGGTCACAACCCGGTGGCATCACAGAACAACCCAGGGAGAGATGTATCCTCTAGTCCATCCTAGCTGCTTGCTCCTTCATCCAGCCTTTCGCATTCATAGTTGCCCACTTTTACTTTAGAGTCTGGATGTTATCAGGGGTGGCTGGCTCGTCTAATCACCATCCCATCTCATTTTCATAGACATTTTAGTAGTGGTCTGTTTTATTGTCCTCTGAGCTTTAGAGGGGAAGGAAAGAAGCAGGACTTTCCCCCAGGTGCACAAAAAGCCCTGCCAGATATTGATTGCTTCTTACAACAAGTTGAGCTTGGAGGGGTTTTGGTACCAGCTGTGTCTCCTACTCCTTGTGGCTGTAGAGCATTGCGTTGTGGCAGCCTGTCCTTTCTAGAGGTGAATCTTCAGGCCAGTGCTCAGCATGAGCAGCACCTTGCTTCTCAGGTTGTCCCGGTGGTGTTAGTCAAGGTGTTTGATGAGTAACTTGTGGTTTGGTTAGCAGTGACAGCACGTAGCCTCTCATGACTTGCCCTGCATTCTGTCCTCTCCATCAGACTCAGCTTGGGCCCTGACCCATCTCCCTTGCCCTTGCACAGGTCAAGGTGACAGCATCCCATCCAAGTGAGAGCAAAGCACCTGGGAAGAGACTTGGGGC